CATTTCCATTAAAAAGGGCCCCCAGTTCTCAAACTCATCATCCAAAACACAGTGTTATTATATGAGAGCATTGTCTTAACTCGGTACGCCCTATTTGAGCTACAACTACCTACAATATAGCTGCAGAATGGCTCTACCACTTATTTAGTAATTAAATTTTTGTTAATTAAATAAATATCTACGGTATACCAATAACTTGTTTACTTACTTACTACATTTAAAATATAATTAAAGTACATAGGTTCTACTAGTAATAGTAATGTAAGTAATGCTCTTATTGTTCGACTATGTAGTTATCTCCGATCTAATGTATGGGGCTCTCTAAAACCCATTACGGGGTAGTATATGTACACTGTAACAAAATTGCATTAAAGTTTTATAGTACAAAAAAGAAACAGAAATTATCGTAAACTATTTATAGTAATACTGCACTTATAGAGTAACAAAGTTTTCTACAAAACCGAAGCTGAAAGAAACGAAAGCTTTAGTTTTTACTAATATTGAATATAAAATGTAAACAACAATTGACAAACCCCTATTGTACCCGTTAAGGTACGTTATCAGGATTAGTATTCAAACGTATAGAAATAAATTTACTTCAGAAAACTTGATCAGAAAGAATCTTAAATTAAATTTAAATAAAATTATATTTGCAGGTTGTATGTGGTTTTATTACACATTAGACACCATTTTACCAAGGCCCGTGTCAGTTAGAGGTTATAAAACTACATATAACTTGAAAGAACATTTTTTTACGTTTTTGCGTTGGCGTATACTTTCGTGCCCAGTGGTGGGACGTATACAGGCTGTAACTTTTACTTTTTAGTTACTATTTTGTAAAGTATATTTTTCTCATATTAACACACTTATCCAAGGTTTACATTACGACATTACTTGTCTTTTAATACCAAAGACTCATGAAATTCTAACAGTATGCCTTCCTAAATAGGTATGATCAAGACTTGTTCGCTCTAGTGTACCGCAAGCGAGCTATCTGGGCATTTTTGTAAATTATCAGATTTGTCTAGTTAAGACTGGAGTACGAAAAAAATTGTTTGGAGCTTAGAAGTGCGCTGACATCCAATTGTTATATAGAAATATCATTGTGGCTAAATACATACGTTTTACATAGTAAAAGTATAGCTAGGTAACTCATATTGAAGTTTTTGTTTGCTAATCGATAAAAATATTTATTTTTTATCAATTAGTTTCTTTCATTTGTCTCGATTAATACTAAGCCACATAGTCGGTACGTCTTTCTATACACTTTTGCTTTGAGTGTTATAGAAATTATACGTTCTATAATAATTCTCTAGTAAGAATGTGTCGCCTCTATAATGACTTGTTGATTAATAATCGTAATAACATCGACATATTTAATAACAAAGTAAACAATTACAAAAATCATGCTTTAGATATACTATTAAATAAGGCATTCAAGGCTAATAATTTAAATTTAAATGTATATTGTTTTTATAAAGATTTAATTGTACTAAATTTTCCATAACATATTACACTATACATAATATAATATAATGTGTTTACACGTTTTGGAAAACCATTCAGATCATAACTTCGCACTTATTATGTTCATGTTTTGAAGTTATTTTGTTTTGTGTACCTTAATAGATAAACAAATATCTGTATATTAACAAATATATATATCAATTGCTGTCTGTAAGTCTCAATAAAACTAAAAAAATGCCTCGACAGATTTTGATGAAATTTTTTGTTTGTGTTTGAATGGGTCCCTAGATGGTTTAGATTTACATTTGGATCTGGTAAAAGGCGTACGTTGTCCAGATCCAGAAATCACCAGTGCAAGCTGGGGCGGATCGTAGTAAGTAAATAAAAAATAATATTTTTTTATTTACTTATTAGTGGTTTTTTATTTGCGTTTTCTATCGCATCTACCACGTGGATTTTTCTGAGGAATCGTTCGAATTACTTCCAGCCGCTAAATTTCACAAACGGACATCGCGACAAAATTCACGATACCATCCTCACCATCTGGATGCTTGGCGGTTCACCTTGTATGTTTTACCAGGTACCTACGTTTACGAGGTTTTCTTCATCGTATAAGTTCTCTGTGAAAATGTTTACCACCGGTAATTTTTCCGGACCGATACGACTTAGGAACCTTTAAGAAAAGAGCTTAATCCTTTCTAAAAGGCCGGCAACGCATCTGCAATTCCTCAGGTATTGCGGTTGTTCATGGGCGGCGGTAGTCGCTTATCATCAGGTGAGCCGCGTGCTCGTTTGCCTCTCTTCAATAAAAAAGTAAGTGGACGTCGCACAGGAGCAAGTCCGCTGCGCTGGTCCAGTGCGTGTTGACAGATCACATGTTTTCAAGAATAGTTTATACCTCTGACATGCAGGTTATCTTACAATGTTTTCCTTACTGCTAAGCGGGTGTAAAATAACCACATAAAGTTACACACTGAAACATTTAAATAAAAAAATGGTGCCGCCAGGAACCCGGGTTGCACTCTGGTGAAATTCACGGCTAGTGCCTAGTCCCTGAGCTTCGGTTCTAGATGATCCTAAATTAATCAAAATCAAAAAACCTAAATGATCTTAAATTTATTTATTTTATTTAAACGAGTAAAGGAACCGCCTACATACGTTCTACTTTTGGGCCTTCTCACACATATCTGAGGAAATCTTGGGGCAGGAAGTGTCTGTCGACATACTTTCATATGTGTACTTCTATGTGGATTATAATTCAACTACCAATTTATTTGGTTCTGGCGCAGTGAGGATCACATTTGGTTTGATCGCGTAATTTGAAACTACAAATATAATTTTGTGGACGCAGTGGCGCAGTGGCATTGCAATGAGTTGTAGCGCCGAGGGTTGCGGGTTTGAATCCCACACGGAACAAGTATATCTTTAATAAGATAAGGTGACAAACGAGCACACAGTCCACCTGATGGTAATTAGTTGCTGTGGCCCATAGAAATCTACAACTATCCTCGATTACTAATCAAAATGCAGATGCGTTGTCACCTGTGAGGACTGAGATGGAATACGTTTCCAGTATAAAGGGTGATGCCTCATAGGGGGATAGTTACCATATTTGGCAAGTGGGTTGGCAACAGCAGTTTATTTTTTATTTTTATTTTTATTCGTTATTAGGAAGATACTGCTGCCTATCTCCAGATTCGCTTCCATCTGTCGCCTCTTATGAAAGTGGATTCTCCTACACTGCTACTACACGATAACTTTACGATTACTTTACATATGAGTGATACGTATATTTTGAATATATCCACGCACCTACCTATTAATTTTCTTATAAATTTGTGCAATGTCAAAGCAAAGCCAGCAGACTCCTAGGTACTTAACAACAAATAACTCTTAAGGAACCCTCGGTGCTTATTAGCTTCCCATGTAAAGTGTGCTTGAGTGTCGTAGCTCTTTGCAAAACCTCTCGATTATAAAGAAGGTTTCGAGATGAGGCTCGGGTTTGGTTAGCCTTGTTCTATATTTGGATAAGTGATTCCAAAAGCTTTCAAAAAACTTTATAAAGACTTTCTTACCATTTTATAAGTATTTAAAAAAATTCTTAGGCAAATTTTTTAATAATAATATTTACGAAGAAATCTATGTTCACTAGAATTTGTAATCTTTATTACCTGAGATGAAATGGAGAAACTATAATTATGCGTTTAGGATGAGGGGTTATTTGTATGTGTATGTGTAAACGAATGTACACTGGTGATGCCTTATACACCGGCCATGCCGATATTTTTCGGGAAAACGTTGCCGAATACCGGGACTAACTTGTGTCTGAAGTCAAGTCTTTGCTGAACAAAGTCTCGGATTGGGGCGACTAAATCTAGTCTAGTTCAATCTCCAGAAGACGTAAGTTTGCGCGTTTATCGCTAAAAATAACCCCTTTGTCGTATCTCCTCAGTTTCAAGGCACTTCCATTGCTGCCTCAGCTAACATCGGAATCCTCGGCGTTGACATATTGTGCGCAGTTTCGTGGCCACTTGGAGGGGAAGGCCAAATTAGCCTCTAAAAAGCTTGGCGTGCTCAGCAGAGTGAGACAGTATTTCATGCCGGCACATCGCTTGCAACTTTACAAAGTGCAATTTCGGCCTCACATGGAATACTGTACTCATCTCTGGGCCAGGGCACCCCAGTGCCAGCTCCTTCCACTTGACCGCATCCAGTGCAGAGCGATTGGAATCGTAGGCGACCGAGTTCTTTCTGATCGGCTCGATTCACTGGCGCTGCGTAGGAATGTTGCATCCCTTTGCATTTTGTATCGCATCTAGTACTCTGAGGAATAGTTCGGATTAATCCCAGCCACCAAATTTCATGAACGCAAGTCGTGTCAAAATTCAAGAGATACCATCCTCACCATCTGGACGCTTGGCGGTCCACTACCGTGGGTTTTACTAGGAGTTTTCTTACTCGTACAACGTCTATGTGGAATTATTTACCACCGGCAATTTTTCCGGACCGATACGACTTAGAATTCTTAGAGAACTTTAAGAAAAGAGCTTACTCCTTTTTAAAAGGCCGGCAACGCACCTGCAATTCCCCTGGTGTTGCGGTTGTTCATGGGCGGCGGTAGTCACTTACCATCAGGTGAGCCGCATGCTCGTTTGCCCCCCTCTTCTATAAAAAATTATCTCCAAAACAGTTAGACCGATTTGGATACGATTTTCTGTTAAGAGTTTGTGATTAATTACGGATTGTATATAGGTGTTACATTTAGTTATAGTATAGTCATTGTTATAGTATGAATTCATCACCGCATTTCATCACATGTGTCTCGTAAGAGGCGTACTAAGAAGATCTTATGACTTTCGATAGATGATTGTATAATAAGCAGACCGTATGCAGAAAACGGGGAGCAATATTGATGGAGGAAATAGGTGAGATTGTGATACCACAAAAGGAGCTTAACTGCATGTCTTACAATTTAAAAATAAATAGTAAGAAGAAAAGATATTTTAAATAGAAAATATTAAATAAAAGTATACCTTATTATTCAGAAATATTGCCAGTGACCTGAAAACAAAGAAAAGCAAAATGTTAATTTTGAACATTCATTTAACATTGTTCATATAATGCCTACATTAAGACCCGTGGTTACTCAAGGACTGAGCTTTCGTTGCAAATTTCACAGTACTCGAGCAACCTTGGTTTTATCCCCGCTAACATCAATGAGTTTGTTAATTGCAATTTTAAATTCTGATTCACCATATTCTCGGCAGTGAAGAAAAACATCGCGAGCAAACATGCACATCTGAGGAATTAAAGGAATTACGAAGACATGTGAAGCCTGCCAACATGCACTGGGGCAACGTGACGTACTGACTTCCCGTAACCCTAACAAAAATGGGAGGCCTGTGCTCAGTAGTGGATCTTATATAGATAGTTATTTTACTTTTGTGTGTACATGAAGGTAAAATATAACTGCCAGTAGTGGATGCAAAAGTTTATTCACCCATTCAGTTCTACTCCTATCTCTTATGTTACATTTTAAACGATTTTATGAAGTGACGTCTCGCATCGATGACCACCCCTGTGCAAAATTATTAAAAAAAAACAAAGCTGCCTCAAAATCTTCAACAATAAGGTTGAAAATTCATTGCGATACACTAACTGTCGTATTTATGTTTTATTTTATAGAATAAAGAACTTTATTGCAATAAAATAAGGTCGTAAAAGCTTGTCGAATTTGAAATAAGCGTTGCAGAACGAATTGCAATATTTTTGCTTTGGGTGATATTTTGCGGGGAAATTATGCGTGAGGTACTCCCTCGTATGAAATTACAGGTAATTTTTATAAGGCGAAACGAGTAATTTGAAAAATTCGCGTTCTGTTATTGTAAGATTATCCAATTTATTATTTTTACATATTTTGCGGTGATTGTTGTCTACGTGTGTAATAAAACAGTACCATATTTATGTGTAAATCTATGATGGGTACACTATCAAATTAATTTTGTGCTTTTAAAGCAAAGATTTTCTCATTTAAACGTCTTTTAGTGCTTCCTCTACCACTGCATGCGTATTTGTTCAGCACTCCAGTTTTTATGTTCAGATTTTGCTTAATATCGGTAAACATAGGATCTAAATAAAATAGTCAATAAATATTCTAAGTAAAGCAAATTTTCCCGACAATTAAGTTATATTGTTATACATGATTAATATAAAGTCTTTCTAAATTCCATTCATTCATTTGATTTTGAATTTTAATTGAATATTCCTACATATTATGTCCCACGTTTACGAGTGACTTTTAACAAAAAGGAATGCGTCAATTATGTTACATGTTTAACATGTCGTAAAAGGTGACTAATGGGATATAGGGTTTGCCAATGTGCAGGCGATAGTCTAGTCATCTATCGCTTATTAGACATTTTTCCATAATCATATTAGATAGAGAGCAATGCCAGGAGTGATCTAGGCTAGATCTATTCCCAAAAACTTGACGTTTAATCCCACCCAGGAAAAGTCAGGGCAAGTCCTCTAAAATGTTTCTTCCTAGTTCATTTTAGGACAGAGGTTTTTCCGAAACCATTGTCAAAAGCATGTTATATACGCTCTAAGTATTCTTTTAAACATATTATATTTAATAAAAACGATTCTATTCTGTTCCATTCTAACATAGGCTAAATGCGGTATAACCCTTAAGGACTGAGATAAAATGTCTTATAAATACTTCCTTAAACTAATTATATTTAATAAAAACGATTCTATTCTGTTCCATTCTAACATAGGCTAAATGCGGTATAACCCTTAAGGACTGAGATAAAATGTCTTATAAATACTTCCTTAAATCAGTCTTAAGCGTATACTATTATTGAGTCAAATGAATCCTTTTAAGGACACATTAAATAGCTTTGAGAACGACAATGTAAATAAGCTATTTATATTGAACTTAATTATTCGATCGTTGAACTAATGAACGGTTAAAAAGTCTTTACAATTAAGAAGATATTAACGTGCGACGTAATGTTAAGAAGTTATTACCATAGATAGAAATTGTAATTAAAGGACATTAATAGTAATAGCCAGCTTATCTTAAAAAATAATGAATTTAAGTATAATGTGTAATGCCTGATAATTTTATATAATATATTTATATAATACATATTATAATCACGAAATATTATATTAAGTAACTACCTTTTACACTCGTGAAAGTCTGTAAATGTTTCACAGATTTTCCTAACTACCGCTCAAGAAAAGGTTTGAGTTACCCTCAAGTCCCGCTTAAAGAAGTTTTACTTCAATAGAAAATAATTAAATAGATTTATAATTTAAATCTTTTAAAAAATTGAGTGTTCTTTTAATACCTTCGTTCAATCGTATTTTAACATTCAATTTTAAGCCCTTGAAACTCATTAATGCATTTTTTAAATAGAATATTTTTTAATGAAGATTTTATGTAATTCTTAATGAAGGTAATTTTCTACTTCTACCACTTATGATACATTCAATCAGGATAAATACTCACTATCATTTCTAATTTTCTAATAATATTTTTTAAATAAATAAGCAATACGTTACTATTTATTAATATGTAGTTTAAAAAATCTAGACTAGACTGACATATTACATTCGCCAACAAATTCAAAGCTTGGGATCCATCTATCTATGTACATAAAACACAAAAAATATTTCTACGGACATACCGTTATAGACTGAAACTATCAATCGATTTTGATTAAATTTTTTGTGTGTTTGAATGGGTTCCTAGATGGTTTATATACACATTCGTACCCGGTAGGTGGCGCTCTTTTCGAGATCCAGAAATCACCCGAGCGAAGCCAGGTCGCAATTAAATTAATAATTGTCCTGCAAGTTAATAAAAAACAAAATTGTTTTTTTTTTTAAGTAAATTAAATTAAGATGTATTGGATTAAGTTTTATCACTATGTAGCGGCGCTGTCGTCGCGCCACTAGCATACCGAAGCCTAAATCGCGCTATTAACATTCCGAATCATAGACAGTATATATATAGAACATCTCCGAACAAACACACGGAGTGTTGGCCGCTCCCCGGGCACACCAGCTTGCCCGGCGGGCGATCTCCCCTTTTCCTTCCACGGCCACAGTGGTGACCCCGACGTGATATGAACAGGCAACCAAACAACATTCGGAAACTTCAAGCTTCATGATCGTCATAGAATACCCCACTCATTCGCTCCCGAGCAGATATCGTCTGCAGTCTTCATATCCTGCAAGCCATCTAACTTCACAAGGTTCATCGCAGCACTGGAATAATAATGCTTCCTGTTCCTTCAAGCTACTCTCTGCGCCATACAGTGTTCGGCACGGCTCTGAGCCTTACTGCTCGCCTCTGTTTCACGGCACTCTCGCAGATTACTTGCCTTCTTCTCGACTCACCGCAGACTACAAGGCAATCTCCTGGCACTTGCAGATTCGTCGGCAACGAGGCTGCACTATCGACCTCCGGTCTGAGCAGGGGGGTGATGTAGCGGCGCTGTCGTCGCGCCACTAGCACACCGAAGCCTAAATCGCGCTATTAACATTCCGAATCATAGACAGTATATATATAGAACATCTCCGAACAAACACACGGAGTGTTGGCCGCTCCCCGGGCACAACACCATGCCCGGCGGGAGATCTCCCCTTTTCCTTCCACGGCCACAACTATATCTATATATAGATAATAATATCTCAATCAAGTAGTAGCTCATTAAACTCATTACGCAATAAAACGAAATATAACTGGTTTTCAAATATCAACATTTCTCGAGATATGCGAGACAAAAATGTTGAAGTACGAGTGTTTGTTGACATACTTTTTAACTCGCCTGTATTAACATAACTTGTATTTATGAACATAATGGAACTTTTTAGTTTCCCTTCGCAGAAAAAATTAAAAATTTTGGCCTGATCCGGGATTCGAACCCGGATAGTTATGATTATGATAACTATCCGGGTTCGAATCCCGGATATGATAGGGGGATATGATAGGGGGGATAAGTCGCTCGCGTCCGTAGGCTCTGACCACCTATTCCTAGGCCCACCCTACACGTGTCCCCCGGGTGGTGCTAAATGAGCGACAAGCCGATAGCACAGACTCGGCTCCACGCCCTGGTAGAGGCGTAAAATATACCACCCTTTATCCGCACCATGAGGAACAATATAATAGAAATGGCCCCGAGTTCCCGGCGCCCCTTTAATGGGGCAGGGGTGCGAAGAATCTCCGGGAGGAAAACCGGCGACGAGGTTCGCCACCCGTCACGTTCTGTCTCCCGGAGAGGCGAAAAGTGGATTGCAGAGGTCCGTCTGGCTACGTTGAATGTATGTGGGGCAATGAATGATAAAATGGATGAAGTATGCGATATGATGAATGATAGAGGAACAGATGTGTTATGTGTAAATGAGACGAAAAGGAAGGGAAAGGATGTCACTACACATGGCATGTATACCGCATACTGGTCTGGTGTAGACGAGATCGAGCGGGCATGCCAGGGAGTAGGTATCATCCTTTCAGAAAGAATGGGCCAATGTGTGAAAGAGTATGAATGTGTAAGCCCAAGACTGCTGTGGATACGAATGAAAGTGGGCTTAAAGAAGTTGTTTGTGTTAGGGGTCTACGCCCCAGACATGTCTAAGCCCACTTATATCCGAGAGCAGTTTTGGGAAATGGTAAGGATGGTGTTAATGGAGTGTAAGGGAAATGAAAATATTATTATGCTAGGAGATTTTAATGGAAGGGTTGGGGTGAGGAGGCTTGGTTATGAAAGGATATTGGGAACGTTTGGTGATGAAAGTATAAATGAGAATGGTGAAAGTCTCCTCACCGTATGTATGGAAAAGAATCTTTTTGTGACGAACACTTGCTTTCGCCACAAGAGGATTCACATGTATACTTGGGAAAGAGGTGACGATAGAAGCATGATAGATTTAATAATTGTGGATGAAAGATTGAGGGGCGCAGTTGTAGATACAAGGGTTTACCGGGGTTCTAACGTAGGAACGGATCATTATTTGGTTCTATGCCGAATTAATGGTCTATTCAGGCG